TACATCTACACGTTTAATAAAAGAAACACATGTCAAACATAGTGCATTGCATGTTATATTTAACACAGGAAGTGAAATATGATTAATGATACGACAGAGGAATACATTGTGTATTAACATCAAGCATGCAGAAATATATATAGGAAGTTCATCCGAAATGTAAAGAAAATGATTTATAGTTCTGTTTTTAATTTGTTTTGAGACCAAGAATTTTTTTTTATGCTGACAGAACGAAAATTCTGAAGGAAACAGATTTTACATTAGAGTGAAAGTAAAATTTGGTGAAAAGAAGACTGCTGCTTTTATTTTATTAACACTTTGTTTTTAAAATACATGTACTATAAATTATAATTTTTTTTCTTACAATCACCATTTCGTTTTTTTTTTAAATCCTTTTATCAATCTTTTGAACATTTATTAAATTTTTAAAACATAATGCTAGATTTCCTTTAAATTATTGCACATTGAACACATTGAACACTTGAACATTGAACTTTAAAGGATCTTCATTTATCGAAAAATTAATGCATGTACCAACATAAGTAAATTAAATTTTGCATAAAAATAAATTGATTACTAGAGTCAGTATGATTAATTTCAATGAAAACTGAAAAAAAAATATGTACTATAAAATCATATATTTTCAAGGGGTTAAATTTTTTGTTATGAGTAAAAACTTTTTGTTTGTGGGGATTTGATTTGGTAAATGATGAAAAGTTTAATAGTTAGGTATGTAGCATTTGACATGTTATCGTTGGTCTCTTCATACCTTGAAAACAACGATAATTAAAACCCCACGAAAATTTCTGATTTCACATTATTTTATAAGATACATTATTTTACATGTACATATAACTCAAACAGTAAAACCAAACATATATAATACAATATGACATTTAAAAATGCTTTAAGTGAACTTACTGAAATTCGAGCGCAAATATTCCTTTATAAATGTTCATCGTTCTCCAAAGATTTATATTATAAACTGCACGATGCTTTCTCAATTAAATTCAGATCATTACGTTTTAGTATAAAATGCTACAAATATTTGCCAGCAACTTGCGATCAGTGTTTTGTTGCATATTTTTTCAAGAAATATAAAATTTTCTAAAAACCATTGATTCCACTTCCCAGAAATCAAACATCAATATGGGCATTGTATTGTTTACGTTTGAATATGACAGTCAATGCGCGATATTTTCAATGTAAAAATACCTCCTATTGTTCAGAAGGTAATAAATATGTAAAACTATAGTAATTTGCCTCAGTGTGCATTGTTTTGTAATGTCCTAATTCTTAGAAAATGTTGAGCATTCACATTTTTTTAGAAAAAGAAAAACATGCGTTATGTATTTTCATACATGTATGCTGATAAATATGCTTATAGATATGTCTTATAATGCAAAGGTATTTTCTTAAAACAGATTTTCATCTGATTTACGAACCGCCATCGATATGCTTTGCTTTGTATTCAACGTATCCTGAAAAACAGAAGAAAGAGATTAAAAGATTTCTGCACAAACAAGGTCCCAGTTTATATTACCTTAATAAAATTTTATTAAATATATCAATGAGCTAAACAAATGAACATAAAACCTATAAAAAGTAAATTGTCATATGATTCTGCAAAATATTTGTGACTCTAAACTTTTTATATATTTAAATACAATTTACGACATTTATGACATTTCAGAGTTAAATTTGTCTACAATTTCAAATACTTTATTCAAAGTAATGTCGAAAATGTACATTTATCACCACATGGTTTTTATAACTTTCAATGAAACAATAGATTTCAATGTTTAAATTTAAGCGAACATAAAATCACCTTAAAACTTATAGATTATTTACATACAAAATGTTATTTGAATATTTGTAGTAAATAAATATCTTCATCTCTATTTCCGTCATTTTATGTGATGCCCTTTCAATGTCAAGGGTCTTAGTCCATAAATCTGAAATATAAATAAATATAAGACACAGCATACGTCCTAACATTGGGAATGATGAAAATGCAAAGTTTAAAATCTATGTAATGATATTTAATCAGCGTCATACGGTGCTTAATATGGAAGAAATTTCGAAATACTAATTATACTACCTTGGTAATTAAAGAAAAGCTATTTTTAAGCATTAAAACGTAGTGACAGGAAACTTTCTACATATACATATGTAAACAAATCACAAAAAATAACCAATCGTAAAAAATGTCAACAGGCTATCTTGAAATATATAATGTTTCAAATAATTGCTATTTTATTCAAAGATAATTTCTTTGAGATTAAAAAGAATTCGGTTGTCAATTTAGAGAACATTTAATTTTACAGAAAAAATAGAAGGAAGTGATTAACTGTGTAAATAATTAACCAAAATAATTGATCGAATTCGATTAAGTAATTCAAAAATGATTACAATTTCTTTCATGCGCAAAAATGATCGGGAAATCGAAAAGAAGCAAACTGTATTATTACACATGTCTCATTGTACCCTTCATTAAAAGACGCCATGTACTTCTACAATTCATTTTATTCCACTAGGTAAAAAACATTATGGCTTTTTGCAATGAATCCATTTAAAAAATGAAGGGAAAAAAAACAAAGTACACCTTCTCTCATTTCTTGTATATATATATTTTAATTAACATCTTCACATCGCTTACAAACATTTAAATAATAAAAATGAAAAAGGATTATTTTTTTCATTTTTGCAAAAATTGACAATGCTTTCAACTTTACACATAAAATTTTCTCTGTAGTTACTAATTTTTAATACATTATATGGAGATAATCAACAATATTCATCATTAAAATCCATTCAAAAATTCCAATTCAGGAGCAGAACAAACACAATTACTTCTAAAATAGAAGAGACGGGATCAGATTTCATATACGAATGAACATCCCACGACACAGTGTGCTATTTGTCATGAACGGAAAACAACGGAAAAATCACCCGGCAGTTCGTTGTGTAAATAATGGTTCAAGAATTAAATTTTAAAAAATGTTAGTCTGGATTTGACTAAATGGTTTATATTTGCTGACAATGTTACTGCATTGTTTATAAAACGTACAAAATGATGCCTTTAAAAGAGACTATTGATATTCTTGTTTCATCAACCGGATTGTCAGTAAATAACCTCGTTTTATAAATTGTTAATATGCACAACATGCTCTTGTGTATGGAATCATCAACTGAGGGATATAAGCTCCGTATGCAGGTGATGAAGGTATATTGCTGCAAAGGTATATGTAAGGGAAGTTGACTATTGAAAAGTCAAAGTCATCATATTATGATAAATCTTGGTTGTTAGATAAAAATAAACATTTTTTCTCTTAAAATTTCGAAAAAATGAAACATATATGTCAGATTCTCTTGTATCTTTTATTCATGCTTACTGGGATATATCGTGTCCACAAATTAATGGAAGTAACTTTTGTTAAATCATACACGGACTATATCGTCGATCTATCTAAATGTCGAATTGAAGGCTGCAGCAAGTGTTTTCTTCTCATGTATTGTGTATATATTTTGCTTTATACGCATACAAAGATAAGTCTACTAATAATGGGGCGCAAAAGGAACCGATGGGAATGCCAACAAATTCTTGGACGACCTGTTCTCCAAACAGCAAACAGATATTGTTTAGCAGAAACACAGGAATATTAACTTTCAAGTATTTTTGTGTACATTCAGAATTATTTTAACAAAACAATTCTGAAATTACCAATGGCAGGGTAAGATAATTCATGAGATCCTTTTTTAAAGAAAAAAAAACACTTTTAGTATAGTCCTACACATTTAACCATTACCGCTTTACGTCGACGTAAAGTATGTGCATGATGAATTCTTCAAAATATGTACATATAATTTTAATTTGGTATTTATAACAATATTAAACGAAATAAAAGTTATTTGAGAGAAAAGGAAAAAAAGAAACCAGCAACACATTCTTATCGTGACTGGGATAACTAGAAACACCAGGGATTGAACCACATGCCTAAGAGTAGTTAACATCCCTTTTGAAACACACTCGTTTTCCTTGGTACTGGTCAATAAATGGGGTCATTCAATGAATTATCTGAATTGTCAAAGCTGTATAAAAATGTTCGTCTAACAAAAGAGGACCGCCAGATTATCTCTATTTACTAAACAAGGTTTTCATAAATAAATATTTCTTACCAGGTAATCTAATTTACCAAATTTAACACTTATTAAATAAAACATTTAATTAATGGAAGCATTTTTCGTCATTTATTAGCATAAAATAAATTTTGCGTTTAATCTAAATTTATTCAAAAAATGAAAATACCCATGACTACGAGTTTTAAATTACATATTGTACCCGGACGTAAAACCCCAAACCATAACAACAGATGTGAAATATTTAAAAAAAAATGCAATTTTAGCTACCTGATTGGGTGTATACAAATTTAAAAAAAAAAAGATGCTTAAAATTAATCTGAAAAAACACTATTTTTGCTTTCTAAATTATAGTATATAAATACAAGAGGTTTTATATTGTTTTATTACAGTATATTGAAAATGATCGTAAAGACTACATGTAAGAAATCTATGGCAAATTAATAATTACAGTTTTGTACATTGAATACTTATTTTGTCAGCTAATTGTGAATCTAGTGTTAAACTATCGATAGCAATGTCTTTTTATGGATTTTTTTTTCTAACAGACATTTGCTAACAGGTGTTCATCACTAACAGCAAAACTGACAATATAAGATTTCCTTTATAATCATTTAGGAAGTTTTAATCGTTCTTCGTTTTTTCATGATAATATATATGATAAATGTATAATAAAAACACGAAAATAATCCATTGTAGCGTTTTCCAAAATGTTTTTTCTGTGTTCTCTGCTCTTAATATTTATTGTTTAATTTGGTTTATGGGTATAATTGATATATATTTTATGTATCTCTTATATCATCTTTTATTCCAATTAATCAGTACTGGTAGTGTTTGTTTACATCGTCTTGTGTCGGACAATGCCCGTACAGGAACCTAGCCCTTTACCTGTGTGCTCGCTGAATGTGTCCCTGCCATGTGACTATAAACCGTGTAACAAGTCGCCGTCCTATTGCCGGTCAATGCTGAGGGAGGAAAGAAATCTAGTCAGAAACCAAATCAAGCGGCTTAGATATAAACTCAACGAAACAATTAAGGAGGAGGTAAGAGTTTTTGGTTTTTATTTGTTTTTTTATTGTTTGTATTTTTTTTTTGTTTTTTTGTTTTTTTGTTTTGTTTTGTTTTTTGCGGGGTGGGGGTTATTTTCTTACACAATTTAGATGCTCAATAGAATACACGAAAAACAAAATAAACCCTACAGGTTTGTTCAATTTCAATTAGAAATTCAAAGATATATCAAGGCTAAAATTAGTATTTTAACTTCTGAGAAGAAAAGTCTTAAAAATAAATTTCCCTGTATACTAGTATACAAACAGAGTAAGAAATAACGAAACAGTAAGAAAACTATAGGGAACTTGAAATTATTTTAAAAGAAATTGTTCATTGTACATTTGTATGTTAAAAACTTACTTTGATATTTATCATGCAAACTGAGATTTTACTCTTCGGGGTATAGACATTTTTTGTGCTAAATATATGTTGAATTATTCATAAAAACACAAGGGTCAGCAACACGTTTAGTTTAATTGGCATTCTGCTTGAAGATTTAATAAAGTGATAGATTTAAATGTAAGATTTTCAAAACAAAGCATTTTAGAGAGTGAACAGGCTAATTTGCACAAATTTAAGTTTCCGATCTTGGGAATGAAATTAAATGAAGAACGTCATGGTGTTTATAAATTTTGTTTCACATCTACGAGAGAAGCACTTCTAGTAAGATGACCGAATTATTTGTTTTAATTATGTTAATTTTTTGACAGTAAGCGTTGTCCCCTCTTAACCTGCTATTTGTTTTCTATTCAGGGAAATATTCGCCATCAATCACCGACCAGCACGGACCTTTCGTCGCATTTTCCAGAGTTGATTAAGGTAAATGTTTATTACAGACAGTGTCATAATGACTCTCTTAACGTACCATGTGATCTGTAGTACAACTCAGATCGCAGATAACAGAATATAACATACCTTTCTAATGACCGTTATGCCTCTTATACAAGGACATTACTTTTATTAATAAATTATCGCACTGTAATGCATTGCTATGCATAATTGAACAGAAGCAATAGCTGAAATAACTTCCTATATTTGTCTTTCTCGGTGGATTAGGTTTAACTGAACGAAAAAACTGAACAGTACACCATTTAAATACCAAGGACTGACGTTTTATTATATACTTTGTTACTTATTTTTAAGGATTGCATTAAGAGTTTTTTTTTGTCTCTCCCATAGGGCGAAAATTTGGAGAAAAGTTTTTCATCGCTTTTTCGGGTTTTGGAGGCTTTATTTGTTTATACATCCCAGAGATTACAACAAGAAGAAAAATTACAGCTCAACACTAGGATAAAAGGAAGACTTATAAGGATTCAAAGATTACTGAGTAATATAATGTGCAGAATTTACCGGGCCGAACACATCCAAAATAAAACTCAGATACATGGAATCTGTCTCAATATACAAGCAATGTATACACAGTCAATATATGGAATGTTTGAGCGGATTCTAGCAAGAGTGGACAGCGGGAGAAGACGGAAAAGAAGCTGCAATCCAAACAAAAACAGAAAAAGGAGAGCTAAAGGTCGAAAAACACAGAAAAGAAAGTCTTCAAAGAAATTATGATCATGTTGTTTTAATGAAGTCAACCTGTGATATCAAGTTGTGAAATCCATGCTGATACTCTTGCCTATTTGCAATTACAATGTGCATTTTACGTGATTAACCACTCTTTGATAGAAGCATTTTGATGGTCTTTTTTTTACTTTTGAAACTACCTTACTTTTACAATGCAATTTACATTTTTACCTTTTGTTTTACATGTGGATTCAACTTAACATGCAATAATTTTGAAAAAAGTGTTCTTATACATGTATTCATATTTTCTTCAATTTTTGAAGATTTATTATTATGTCGAGTAAAATAAAATGACAGCAATATTTTACCGTTCTTGTAATTGCAATTGCAACTGCAGAAAAATGGCTGGGGCTACTTAAAGAAACATACATAAATGAAATAACTGAAACACAGCAAATGAGGTGCAATTTTCCTTTGAGGATTTTTGCTCTAACAAATGCTGAAGATCCTGAAAGAGCAATGAAACTACCTATCATTTAATGACTGAATGGTCACCGAGTTCTACCTTACAATTTTAAAAGCAATGTCTAATATTTTCTTTAATGTTACATACAATGTAATTTATCAGAGTTCTTTTTAAACATACAAAACTAAGTTGATATTTGTTCAAGGAAGGAATTTGTCCTTCAGATAACTTTTGTCCAAAATATTTCTTGAAAATACCTAACGTTCCATCAAGGTCCATTCCAGCATATACAGATCTTGTCGTGGTATTAAACATGTGTTTTCGAGATGTCGAACATATCAATTTTTGCAGGGGAATTTCAATGCTGTCCATATATCCGCTATGGATTGCATACCATACAAAAGTGGTAAACCACACTTAAAAGTGCTGTACAGAGGTGTGATTCTTATAATGCAATGGAGATTCATCTATTTTATATCTGCCAGGCATCGGTATCTTTGACAGTATTTGAATGAGTGACTATGCTAATGTTGTATTTTGAGACACGTCTTAACAAAACCGATATATCCGTATCCGACATCTTTGTTATTTTTGTTGTAATATCTATATATAAAATATAGAGTATTTGGTCCCGTTTGAAAAATCATTAATTCATACCTCAAATAGGGGAACATTTGTTGAAAGTGACACTATATTTTGCAAAAGTGTATTTGATATTTAAACCATGCTGTACGAAATACATAATTATCCTAATATAAACTCTAAACTGTTCTGTGTTTAATGTGGGGAACAATTTTCTACAATATGAAGTGATTCTGTTCACCACTCCCTTAAAAAATAAGAATAAATGTTTATTAGTAAACAAGGAAAAATAAACAAAAGCATTCCATCAAGTTGCGTTTATTTCTCCCTTAAAACCCTAAATTCCTGCGGATTAAGGTTTGACATGAGCTGTTATATACCAGGGTAAATCCTATATTACTTTCCTGCTAAAGGGTTTGTCACAAAACAATTTATTTACTGTTTTCAAATGTTGCTTATATTTACCGGTATATTGAGAGGATCTCTTGTTGAAAAATTGCAAGGTGATTCAATTATGTGAAATATGATTAAATTTCATTATATACATGTAAATTTCATAGTTTAGTCTCCTACCTTTGAAGCTCGATGAATTATTTTCTTTCGCGAATGTTCATCTGTCTTTCATTGGCTAGCTGTTTAATTGTCTGTCTGTCTCTCTGTCTGTAATTTTTTTTCAAACTTGGTTTTCCGCTCATTTTTCCTTGACGCTTAAAGATATTGAGCAGATTTTTTGTATGCAGGTGTATCAGGATCAGTTACAGATGAAGTCTGCATTCCCTTTCGATTCAATCATTTGGGGGGGATAACCCTCTTTCATTTTTTTTTTATGAATTTGCGCACTTTTGATAACAATATAAGCAGATATTGCACAGATTTAAATGTGAGATGATCTTAATGCAATTTTGATACATTCTTTGTTTACTTCCAGTTCAATACATTTTGACGAAATTTGAACTATTTGATTCAAATTTTACTGAAACAAAATAACAGTTGCCAGTGGGAAAGTAGTATTGTAATTGCTATAATCCCAGAATTCTGGTTTTTATTGAATTTTGAAAAGTTTTCTTTTTTATTATAATACTATACATTGAAGTCCACTGAAACAATACAGATGGAGTGCAAAGCAAACACGGACTTTTTGAAGTGTTGTAGTGTATAGATATTATAAGCAATATTCTATATATAGAATAATATCGAGGCATTTCGAGAGGTATTATCTGTATTTCTGTGTTTCAGTTGTAATGATAAGAAGAGCTGTGACTGGTCAATCTTTTGTAGAAAATTTCAAATAATCGTATATAAATCCAGTTATATAGCATATGAAACAAACATTCATGTAAAATGAAAAACACTAAAGGTATCGAAAATTAATTATCATTTTGTCCATTATAATACTTTTTCCTTAATTCTAATAATTTACGTGTATAAAACGTTGACTATTTACTATGATCTACTATATCATTTCGAAAACTTTTCTTTATGAAAACAAGATGATCTTTTTTTCTTCAAAAGTTGTGTTAATATATTAGAAAATAATAAAACGTCATCTTAATATCCCAAAGAGAAATGTAATAAAATATGAAAAAAATATACGGATTAGAAAATAAAAATTTTTGTGAGGGGTAAAAAAAAAGGAACGTCCTAGGATAATAAATAATTCCAATAAAATTTCAATGATAGTGTGTACAATCCTTGCTGTCTTCCTTCTGACCTGTGTGCAAGGTGAAAGCACAGCAACAGTGAGTTCTGAATGCGCAGCCTCCCTGAACAAAGCACGACAATACGTCATCAATCCTTGTGGGGGGCCATGCCCGGCCATGAGCCGTGACGTCATGATAATGCAAATGAAAGAGATATCAAGAAGAGCTAATCTGGAAATCGAACGATATCTTAAACTATTTGATGTAAGGAAATTCATATTTATATTATGTATACATGTATAACAAGTATAAGTAAGTATTAAAAATCAGTAAGAGGGCAAATTTATTTCAGACACATTAACTTGTATTTGTTATGTGCGACTGTATAGCAAAATACCTCCATTTCATTTTTGGAAAAATTCTCTTATTATAAGAGTCTTACCATGAAAATTTGAAATAAGACAACCATTCCAGAATACTCTATAATTACTACAAATCAGGAACCTTAGAAATCGTATTGAAAGACTTCATTCAGTTAATAAATGAATTGATAATACACATGTAGTAGTTTCATTTTGAATGTAAACATAACATAACAGGGAAAGGGCTAAAATAGGCTGCGCCTGCTGCCCAATCCTATTCACAATAACATCTGTTGTGAATAAAATATTGTTTAAATTGAATTTAAATTTAATAACATAACATTAGAATAAGAATTTTCACTGTATCAAAATGTATAGTATATGATTAAAACATTTCCTTATAACATGTTTACCTCCCTTTACAATTATGATATATATCTTCCGTTTTGTTTCCGGCAGGCTCACGGGTTCCTACTTCCTTTGCAGCTGACCAACCCCAAACTAGATTTACCAACGTTCAAAAAGGTATGTATATGTTTGTCCTGACCCCAGAAGTGTCTCGTACTTTGGTGCTACTAGAAACGCACTTTTCCTATGGTAATATCAGGTTTAACTCGCACACGATTTTTGCAAATTTACCTAAATTTTTGGGAGAAAGATAACCTCGCATTCTTATGATAATGCCGTAATGCATTATTTAATATTGAAATTCGACTTTTGTAAGTGTTGGTTAGACTTTCCCTCTTTCCTAGGATATAGGTTCAATTGAACAAGGCCTGAATTAAAATATGGTGATAAACAATCCACATTACAAGTGAAAATATCTAGATTAATGAATATGTGTGAATATTTCGAACAATGATCGATCTCATCCAAACAAATGTTGTTCATATTGAAAATCATAAATTTTTAGAATAAAAAATTACAATAGATAGTGGAATAAATATTATACGATAATTAGCTTCAAATTACATTTTATACAATTAATTTAACTCTTCATTGCAATTAACTAACAAATATTAATGTTAGACATAATTATTAAGAATATGAAAGTCCAACAAGTCACGTTATATTTGAAAACCTGCCACACATCATAAGTAATAATATTGTAGAGTGATGACATTAATTTTTAAGTATACTTTTCTTCTTTTCTTTTGCAGAACCTCAGCTTTGAAGATGAATTTATACAAGCGTACAAGGATTTATCAGTATATTTTTCCTACTGTGTGCAGATAGAAGACCTTGAGCGTAAATTATCTCTACAGACAGAAAACATTCGTTATATATTGACCATCGAGTCCGACGTGTTTCGTTTTATGCGTGTAATTATGGCAGGAAAAGGACGTGAACAAAATAGCCCACCTTTGTCACAAAATATTTATAAATGTCTACCTGTGGAACCCATTGTATATTTAAGAAGACTGCAAGCAAGAACCGTTCTACAACATCTGAGTATATATTTTCTGCAAATGAACTCTTATCTGATGTCGGTTTAGTCTATTTATTATTAACTTGCATTTATTTCCGCAAACATTCATTCAATTTTTTGATACTTTTTTTATTTTGTATGATTTTTTGCATTGTTTTTGTATATTTTTTGACAAATATTTTTTATATTGAATTAAATCTTAAAATCATATATCAACCGTTTGAAAGGTTTATTTGTTATTTGTTTATTTGATTATTATTACGACAAATTGTTTACTTTAAATCAATGTTGATGAAATTCCAGTTACAAAACTTTAACAATCAGCGGCACTTAAATGAGTAGAAGAAAACATTTCATATGGCCTTCAACTGGATAATTAAGTAAATCGACGACGTATTATATATTTCTATTTATGAAAGTTATTTCCATTCCTAGCCCTGCACAATACATACTAGTGACCTTAAGATGAAAAATACCACAAAGTGTAAAAATCTATTTCTTTTTTTTTTTTTTTTTTTTTTTTTTATCTATAGAAAACGAAATAAATGGTTATGTAACCACAAAGCCCTATATCAAACCTGATAACTTAAGCTTTTCAATCGTCAATTTCCCTTACTTATACAGCAATATAACTTCATTGCCTTCATATAGTGTCTATTGTTTATATCTCTCAATTAACTTATTATAAACGTGTTATTAACTTATTCAAAAAAAAGTTGGTGATACTAAAATATCAACAGTCTCATTTAAAGTCATCATTTCACAAGCCCTGTGGTTGATATAATGACTTTGCCAGAAATACAGTCTACCATTAAGTCAAATTTTGACTGACGATTTTCAATCCATTTTTTAAGTGTTATTTACACACTGACTTTTTTTCTGTATAATTTTTCGGTAATTACAAGGAGCACAAAGCGGACGTGAACGGTTGAAAAGGGGTGCTTACTCCTCCATGGCACTTAATCCCACCTTTGATGCTAAAAAGTTCCGTGATTGCTCTGCTCCTTTTTTGAATTGTTTGAACGGACTTTTGAATACTATACAATTATTGCTGTTTTTTCGGTCAATACAATGATTTAGCCATCTGAGGAGTACAATATTCACCGAGCCCGAAGGGCGAGGTAAATATTGTACTTCGAAGATGGCGAAATCATTGTATTGACCGAAAAAATAGCAATAATTGCTTTATTATATGATTCAGATAAAATTATACAGCTCATTACTTGTTTGCTTTTAATCAAGTCCCAGCCACATACAAGAGAGAAGCAAAATTAAAATGTAAATAAACTTTACTAGTCGTAGCAATTTTAAATGTTTTTTATCAATTTTAGTTGCCATGAAAAAAATAAATGTCAGTCTTTTTTATAGGATAAATTTTTAAATGAAGGAGTATTATCAGGAAAAACTAATAGCCAAAAAGTAAAAATTGTTGTTTAGTAAAAGTGTTGGAGGGGTCCCTGCATCCCCGCTTACCGCCCTCACCCAAAATATATGTTGGCTTATGTTTTGTTCACATGAAAAAAAAAGTCATAGTTGTTTAAATAGCTTTCCAAAACGATTTGTATCAAATTGGAATTTCCCGATCTATTTTTAGATCAATGTAGAGCAAATAAATCCTTGTATTCACCTGGAACGTCACGTGCAGGTCAATACAACGTAGTATTTTTCTAACATAGTTGGATCTCAGCCAATCAGAGAGATGGAAATTATTCAATCATATAATAATGTTACTTATCTCCATTTATTTTGTTTTATTTCTAAAGTCGTATTTTACGTCTGTGTAGCTTCAGGAATTTTTTTTTTATTTTAGTCTTTGACCATAATATTACAGATCCGATATGAACATGCATATATGGTCCATTTACGGCGCAAGACTTTCTAAGCTAGGATGGTTAGAATGTCTCCACTCTCCTGCATTTGTCAAATGCAATTAACAATCTTTCAATCCCAATTTCGTTATATATTTGTTAACCAACCTGTATATTTTATCTACCCCCTATCAACCCTTTATAGTCGCCTTTACAGACCAAAACTCGCTTATTGAAGTTTCTGTTTGATTTTGAAAATTTTACTTAATACCTTATATAATAACAACTCAAAAGGCTCGCAGCGAGAGTGGCCGATTTTTGAAAAGAACTTGAATTCACCAACATTGTATACCAGTCAGATCTCCGTTTTTATTCTGTTGTCTTATCGATAACCTGTATAAAATAAAGTATCCATGAGACTTGGAGTGAATATTTTTCGTTATCTTCTTTTTCATCAGCGTTTGCATCATATAAGTCCCGTTAAGATGATATTTATTATGCTACTGATCCAAAAATATATATGAGAGAACTTGAAACTTTAGCAACTAATAAAAATTCAAAATTATTTGTTTCTTGAAAAGCTCTTTTTATGAATCTGTGTCATGATTTATATATCTCATCGTTCCTTTGCCTTGAATATTAATACACAGTGACTTATGCAAATAAGTTCGTATATAGCGAACTTTTGTTTTCTAATCTTGTAAGGAAGTGTTTGTAAATTAGAAAACAACGCCATTCCTCGTCAATGTTGCAGACTTGCAAAATTACATAACTACCATTCCGAAGTCATTGAAGACGTCAAGCATTAAACGATAATTAATGTTAAGTCACTATTATATGTAAGTCTTCCTGAATGCCATTTAGTTCAGGAATTCTGCAACTATTAAGCATAGTATTTACAGCTATATTCTGTCATTTATATTCTTAAAGCGACTTACTAGATTTGACGTCATTATTTTGTCTGGTCAAAGACTTTCGTCATAGATATAAACTTTCTGCTAAGGGTTTTTCCCATCAGGTGTTAAAACTATTAATAAATATATTTATCACAGTGGTAAATGTTATTAAATATCAAAGCAATTTAAATCTTTCTTGAACTTTAAAATCTCCTTTTAAAGATTAAATGTGTTACATGTGTAATAACATATATTTAGAGAACAAGATGACAGATGATTTTATTTTTCAATAATCTTGCAATTAATTTTTTAGTTAATTTGCAAGTAATATTTAAAGTTTTAAAAGCATTATATTTTAAGGAGATAAATTATAATAATTTTATTAGAAATGGCATACATCTATAAATTTTTCTTTTTTCTTGAAGCATGTACAATGTATATGACAATGTCGATTATTTTCTGTTATATAACTGTCAAGGACTTGCAGCAAAACTAATACTGTAAACCAATTATTATACGCGTCATTTTTTATTCGCGACTGACCGCTGGAGAACTAATCCGCGACGATTTATTTCCGCGAACAAGTGGTCATTTTTTTTTTTCCACAAGTATTTTATTTTTTGCATCAAAATTTCATATCCGCTCATAAACTAGGTAAAATGCTACCGTAAGTACTGCTTATGTATTATTTAAGACATTCTGTGGATTGCGTCTATTTAAAATCTTATATCCGCACCTAAAGTAGGTAAAATGTTACCATGAGTATACTTCTTACGCATTATTCACGACGCTCGAATGAAAATCGGTAAAAAAAAATCGAGGAGATTTAAGTAGGTTTAAAACTCTCAAGTGTAAAAGTACCTCGTGCTAATTGGGTAATTGATGCTTTATAAGATCTACATAGCCAAAGGGCAATTATTATAAATGGTTGGGACGGAGCAGGACTGGGCCATAATTAGTTGTAATTAACCAGACTATCTCCAACTCGTCTGTGACAATAAATGAACAATTATAATAACACAAGCTGAAATATTTATTGACATTTTAATCGTTTTAGACAAATATTTTTAGATTTTCCATTCGTTTATATATTTTTTCTGAATGTTTGTAATAAAACTTCAACTGCTTCTAGAACACTAAAATTCTTCCGTGATTACTTATTGAACCGTCGGGATCGGTACTCAAAAAAGGGCAAATAACTCTAATCATAACATGGGAAAATGAACAACTGGTTCGCGACGATAAATATCCGCGAGCAGAGGTTACTCGCGGAACTCGCGGATATTTATCGCACGCGTATAATACTTGGTTTACAGTATTGTTAAATCGCTTTTAAGTTCCTAGACTTATGTTCATGAGAAAATGAAAACAAAATAAATTGTTCTCGGAAATATCACTTAATGTTATCAAAAATATCCCTTTGAAAGAAATTATTTTTAATATTTAACCTTTCCTACAAGAATAACAGTATGATATTTTTCTCCCTTGCTTCCTTTCGTAATAATCCCATTTCCTCAATATGCTAAACCTCTAAATCTGCCGAATATTTTGAGAGAGGGAGGAACAAGAAGAATTAAAGCATATTTACTTGAAAGGATAATTCACTTCAGTTCACTCTGCTATATTTCAAATTGCCTTTACCTGTTTAAGTTGACAATTTTAAGTACACTACCTGAATAATTAATAACCTACACGTGCAAGTTCATTACAACGACGCATACAAGTGGGGCATAACCTTTATATGCATATATGAATATTAATGAGGTGATTCTAGATCGTTTGCATACTTATGAATGGCAGCTATGCGACCTTCAAATTACACATGCTTTGTACAACTGCAGTATCTTAGTGCATAAACATTTGAAATAAAAATTAATCATGATCATCAATCATTGATCTGTTAAATGAACTCATAGATAATAAACAACACAAAAAGCAATAAATATAATGAACAGAAAATTATAATAGCACATAAATTCAGAAAATTGAAGTTAGAAACTGATAGATTTTTTTCTTCCAACTTTAAAAAAAAAAGTAAGCACCAAGTTAATAAATTTAGAAGTTTCACTGTGTTAAACATGTAGAGTAGGAGTACCCAAAAACGGCAATGCACTCAAAAAATCCTTGAGAAAAAATTAGCATTGGCACAAATCATTAGGTAATGCAATTTGAATCGATGAATTTTTATTACTTTATAAAAATTCTTCGATTTGATTGGAAAATGGTTAGAATTCAAAGGTTATGAGGCGTCCCTCGCCTTCTTTTCGTGTTATGTACATTTTTGGCAGACGACACAAAATATTACAAGGTGGAAGAAGCTATTTCTGATCAGGTAGTATCCCAGCAGGTGGAGTGACCGTGACAACGTAATTTTCAAACTGGAAACGCTTAACTTCCGCAAAAAGGGATTTCTGTGTAAAATCCGCCGTCGCGCTATAAATTGTCAGTTCACACCGAATTCGCCAAAGACTTTACATCTACAGTAAAATGGAAACTGGAAAAATAATCTGTAAGCATGACAGGCTCTTGATATTTAAATGTGTTCATGCTAATTAAAAGGGAGTCAAATTATTCCGTTTTGAAACACTTTTATCCGTTACAAAATAATCATAATGCAGAGTATAATTACTTGCAATTATACAAAATTTTGTAAACATTTAAGAAAATAATTTCTTTTCATTGAATAACTTTCATTCTCTCTGTAACAAATATTTTTTCAGCAAATTACTTCTTTCTAGTAATATTATCAAATTTCATTGATTGGTTTTCTTTTACAGTTTTTGCCACTGCGACTTTGCTGCAGATCATAACAGAAATTTCTTCAGCAGTCATTCCAAGTACTTGCATCAAGCCATCTGCCATCAGCATCCTACAAAATCCATGTGACGATCACGTGGACAAAGTTAAACCTGCTGCAGAGAATAGAACGCTGAATCTGATTGGTCAGCAGGCAGGAGATTTAAGAGTCCATACAAAGAGTGCCCTTGATATTGTTGTACGTATCTTAACCACAGAGCAAATTTGGATGTGATTGTTTCATAATACTCTTTTTTCAGAGAGTGTGGTGGTGAATGCATTATAACAGCCTAGAGGGGACAATTTTTCTTATGTTTTATAATGCTTACTTGGAACATTTGTTCATATAAATATATATCTTTTTTTAAATTATTAGCATCTTTGATTATGAAGTTAGATGCACTTTACATTATGACACAGGAAATAGTAGAAGATGTATTCTCATACCCAATGCATCAAATAAGAAGCATGTCTTCCTCAATCGGAGGGTCCAACGCCTTGATTTCTCATTCCCTTTATTGCTTTTACCGTATTCAAATCCTTCGTTGTGGTTACAAGTAACTTACGAATCATGAGTAATCAATGGCAAGATTGTTCACTAAATACCAACCAAGACACATGCTTACATGAAAAGTTATGTAGTGCTTTTAGTTTTTTCTTTGTTTTCCCTGTGCGATGGTAACGTTGCAGAAAGTATTGCCTCCACTCACGTTGCCTTTAGAACTACATAATACAATCTTTTATTTTTACAGAATAAGGAGCGCTATCACTCGCCGAACCCCGATCTCACTATTCTTTTTCCGGAGTCAGTGCAGGTAACAGTATTGTTATTTACTTCCGTGATGACATTTGACGTATATTTACTTCTAATTATTCTTCTTGTCTATAACGTTTACGTTGGTTGTTTCAGGATGTGTCCACAAATACCACACAAATCAAGCATACCATGGAATCGGTATTTCTATATGTTGACCAAATGATCAACCGAGAGAAGAAATTACAGATTAAAAGTGAAATCCCCGACATTCTCTGCAACATCAACAGAATTATTGTTAAAATTCTGTGTAATTTGTACAGAATGGGCGCCACCGAAGAAATAGCACTTCAGGATAGAGCCGAGCTCATTAAAGCCTCCGTGAAAGTTCCCTCTCCGCACTATAATTTTACTTTTAAGGAATTATTTCAAAGGTTCCATGGATTTCTGTGTGAATTAATGAAGCACGGTGGGGTACAATCTTCTCAATGCTAACATTTTTGTAGTACTAGCTTCATATTTAATAGTAAAAATGGTTTTATTTTTTTATTTATATGATTTACAATGACGACAAACATATGCATTTTAAATCTTTAGTATGTGTTATCTGGTTAAGTTTTCGTCTTTCTACTAGATTTTGATTTATTGCTTCATTTTAATTTATCCAAAAGAGATTATTTAAAAACCTCTAAATCTTTAAAAAAAAATTCAAATCAATTATTTTTTTTGCATATGTTTGTTCGTTTAACAAAAACTCTATGAGTGAAGACATGTCTCAGGGAATCTTCCATTGTAATGATCTCAAAATAGTCCCATGTTTGTGTGAAACCAAAGAATATTTATTTTAGTGCCATGTAGAATCGTTTTTCTTTTATTATTATTATATTTTTTTTAAAAGAATATATGTAATATTTATTTATTTATTCTGTTTGTCATCCCTTTGGAACGTGCACGTAAAATGTCATTTGATTATTTTAATTTGCTAAACTGTCTATATCTATTTTTTTGTTTTTAAAATGTTGGAATTTATGTTATGAATTATAGACAAATTATATTACAAGTATTTTTTTTTTTTGCTTAATTATTTGTTTCCCCAAATGTTATACATTGGATATTTATTTGATTTAAGATCAAACTTCGACTTGATGATAAGTAAAACCTTTTCTATCTAATTATTTTTACCTTGTTAATAGATATGAAAATTAATATAAATCAAGATTTTTACTAATGGATTAAGAATTTCCCCCCAAAATCACGTAGACAAATTATGACTCAGTAATTATATATCGACACATGTTTATATGTGAAATGAAATTGTAATGCGTAATAATCAATGCAAACAACGAAACTTTTATATATCTTGTTAAAAAAATTTAAAAAACAGTCTCATCACCTTCTCTGATTATTTAGTTTTTAAAACATGTTTTAAAACATTTCAATTAAAATTTGTTTCAAAAGAAAATTGTTCATCTCTGTTCAGATTTTTCACTTTGTGAATTAACGTAAACATGGATTTGTCTGACATAATTTGTAATGAATCTGTTTCAAAATTAAAATTAAGGTATTTCTATACGATTTTTTTTATCAGTTATGCTTAATGGTATAAGCATATGTCCAGTATTGAGTAACACAGTCTTTTTTTTATTCTGACAGAGTACTGTTTTCATTATTAGCCTGAGTAAGGATTCCTACCACAAATTAAAAAAAAATTGATGCACGGACTGATAACTATTTCTTGACTGATTTTGATTGGAGATGTCATATAAATAATAAATTCTTAAAATTTTTAAGAAATCGTACGTTGATGTGATGAATAGATATAACGATTTGTTTCGCTTTCTATAGAATTCTATACAATATCCTGCAATTAAGATGATGGCAAAATCTCATAAACTTCTTCACTTTAACTGAGAGACATTATCCAGATTACCAAATTTAAATATGAATTTATGAAAAATACAGCTGATTTCTGGGAAAAAAAGTCGTCTGTGTCGTATATCTCTAAAGTATCCTTTTTATTTTCTAAAATAAAATACATGTACATGTATTTAAGACAGTTATTTCTTCTTCATCTTTAATTTCTTCCGTTTAGGATAAATGGTAATTTAAAAATAAGTTTATTGGATATAATTAATTATAGACAATTTTTTTTATTGTAAAACAGTTATGCCAGTATGAATACGCAGATATAGATTTTATTCTACTACCTTTAAAAACGTGTAAACATCTAAATGTTGTTTTCTTAGATTTAAAATGTTATGATTTTTATTTTTGGAAAATCATCTCGCAGAAAGCTTATTTGAAAATATTTACACGCATTACACTGAATTGGTAAGATCGCAGAATCTGGTTTCTTTGTAAAAATTATTCGTTATCACTTAACGACCTAGGAATTATGGCGCACTGAGCTTTTGAACAAAACGCAATGCCTTAACTTCTCTGTTAAAAGTAACAAAATTTATTAGATCGTATGAACGAACATGTAAATGAAGGTAAAAGAACCTTTTAAAAGAACCTAAAAGCTTTCAGAATTAACACCTGTCCATTTTAGTTTCAAAAGAGTATCTTGTGTTTAATATCCCAACTTAACACAAGATACTAAAATATAAATCTATGTATCAGTTTGAAACATGAAAATTAAAATGTTTAGGGAGTTCAATTTAATAGATACCCAAATTATACTGTATGACCTGGTTAAGGGCACGCTATATCAACCGTAAAGAAATTTTTTATATGAAGCGTAAACATTACGATTATATACTCATTCACTGCATGTATAGGTAGAAGATATGTCAATATTTTTACCTTCATAATGCCTTCAAATGCAACATATTCAAAATTGAAAATAAATGAAATCAAACATGAAATATATGGTTTTCACTAGGCATTGTGACGCAGGTACCTCAAACATACTATATACAATAATTCTTTCTATTTGAGTAAAAAACTCGTTACAACAGTTTTTTTTAAATAATTATGATGATGAAAAAGTACAATGTTAAGGTGAATGCCATGCTTGCTTGAATACTCTTACATAGTTCTTCAACTATTTATTTCTAATAATCTAAATGAAGTTTAAGAAAACATTTAATACTTTATTCATTCTTTATCAATACAAATGAAACATAGACGACTTCCTTTATCTAGTTGTGGGGTAACTGTCCATCGAATTATCTAGCTGGATGTTTGATAACGTAAATCACACTGTCCTTGACCTACTTTTTGTAAATGATAGATGATTGTGGGAGGGGAAAACTAAAAGCTCGGCCAGGAAATTCTTATTTTTAAGCTACTTAATTGGTCGCTTATTTGTTTCACTACTGGTCAAAATATTTGCGATTCAATTTCCTAAATAAAAAATTGTGTGTCTTCTCATTTAACACGCATTCCTTAACATTCACAAAAAATAGAATTGTATAGCATGTTATATATGGCAAAAAAAAATTCAAGCAAATAATTCATAATAAAGATATCTAACATGTCTAAGATTGTGTAAAATAAAAAGAAAAGAAATACTCTTTTAACTTGATATTTTAAAGAAAAAAAAATCTAAATAAATTTAGAATCAGAAAATTATATCTGTTGAAAGGAAAGATATATAGAAATCTTACGAATTCGAAGATTTCTTTAAAATTATATTGCTTTAAAAAGATAACTATTCATATAGTTTAGACAGCGGTAAATAAAAACATACTAAAAGTATGTATAATATTTTTAAATAATTGTATGAAAAGATATTAATTTATTTACAAATTTGAATGGATTTCTAATTTCAGAAACGACAAGTCATAGTAGGTGGGGTATTTAAAGATTTGTTTACAAAATGTGAACATTACACAGCATAAAAAAAGTTGGCATTTTTCAGAAGGTTAATGACAGATATGCATTTAAAAAAAATTCTCCCTATTTTATTCGAATTTATCTTTAAGATGTTTTAACATCGTTTTGATATTTTGTTTGCTAAATGTTCATTTTAATATATTAAAAATTATTCAGTATTGAGAGTCATTGTTTTGAATTTATCCTTGATATATCATAAAAGATTGATTGATTGCATGCTGTTAAAAATCCGATTCCTGTTTTTAGAGATGTCAACGGATATGGGTAAAAACCTTCAAATTTATATTAATCTTCGGTCCTAAAGCTCTCTCTACCGAGCCAACATCGACCTTTATACACGATCTATGTTTTATCGAGAGACTAACAATTTTCTCTTTTAATGCATGATGATACATTTTTTGATTGAATAGCCATTATCTATTTACAAGTCATCGATTTGACGCGGCGCGGCATATTGATACATATTGAAAGGATATTGATACTATTCATCTTCTTAAAACATCAAAAGGAAAGATTATTTAATGAAACATATGGAGATAACAAAGAGTATTCAAGATAAAAAAAAAAAATACAAAATAGGAGCAGAGCAAACACGGACTTTCAAATTATTAGAGATGGGATCAGGTGCCATGAAGGAGTGAGCATCGGATGCCAACTGGTCACACCCGCCGTGTGCTTTTATCATGATCGAACTAATTAAACTAGATTTCAGGTCTTTTGAGATATATTTTTTTCTTTGTTATTTAAGGTTTTAAGCGAATTTTTACTCCTATAGAGACGCAACCACTAGCCAGTGGATAGCTGCAAATATTGACCTATATCAGCACTAACAATAAACCCTGAACAATAAAAGAATCCTTTTTGGTGCCAGCACCTACTGTGATACAGGACGTTGGTTTATCCACAGGATGAAAATCCACCATTCAGTCGACTGAATGGTAACTGAATGCCCACGGAATGGTCACTGAAAGGTCGCTGAAAAGACCCTTTCCCGTGACCTTTCCGTGATCATTCAGTTACCATTCAGTCGACTGAATGGCACATACATTTCAGTGACCTTTCAGCCATCATTCAGTTGCATCTTTTTATTGAATAATCAGCTTATTTTTTACCTTAAAAAAAATATTTCACTTTTTTCTGGTATAATAGCATTAAATTTATCTAATTCCGAATAAAAAAAATTGGGGGAAAATATTAATGCAAGAAAAAAAATCGCGCACAACGCCGGGAGCGAACCCGGGTCTCCTGCTTACATGTCCGCGACCTAACCAATTGACCTACGGCTTCTTGTTGTCTGGTAGGAAATTAAAATCAATCAATTTGTAGAAATCGATGGAACAATCGGTTCACCTGTTGTATCGAGGAGCTGCGATGTGTATATATCTTGTATATCTTTTGTATATTCTATGTTAATTGCGCGGGTTTTTGGGGCAGACTGATTACTACACATCTCCTATCGGGATGATGACAATTATCAGCTACGGGCACCTGTTCCTGTGTCAGTTATAAATATGAGATCGTTGTAAATTCTCTATCTAGAAACTTAGTAGAATAAATTTAAAACAATATCATTTTAAAAAGCTAAAATCTACAATATTTAGTTTTTTTCTACGAGAGTCATGTATTAATGATTTATTCTATTCATGTAAAATGATTTTTAAAATGAGGTCTTTCAAAAGCTAAAATATCCTGCGGTTTTGACAATTAATTAAGAAACGAAATCGATCAGGTATATAAGGAATTCTGTCTCATTAATCAAAAATAGATATTTCTCTGAAACAATACACGTATAAGCACTATAGAATGTTATTCGGCATTTATGTAAATTTTGATTCGATTATCGGATCATCATTCTTTATCACTTGACGAAATTGTGTTTTCTAAATGTAATTAGAAAATTAAATATCATTTTGAATAAATATTTATTTTATAAAATTAAAGTATTATTTAGACATATTTTTAGGCACGCGAATTAAATTACGATAAGTAAAAAACACAAATAAGATTGCATAATAAATCTTTAGTCAAAACATTGCTTCATTGATAAGGAAAAAAAATATCTGATTAATTATAAATTAATAAGCTAGTGAAAAAAATCGCTAAGT